TGTGCACTTTGATTTTGTTGACACTGTGATTCTCACCGAAGGAATCCATGAATACAGATGAGGTTTGGCATTTGCCATACACTCCGTAGTGCAGCTGCGAACACCGGCCTGTTACACATAAACATGCGAGGGATGCTGCACAGGGCTCCGCTTTGAAGCGTTTATTTAAAAGCAGAGTTCTTCGGCATGTTTAGCCGTGTATTGGATTTTTTTGCTTTGCTGTCATTCGAGCAGACTTGTAAGAAAAAAACGCCCAAAAAATTATTTCGCAATGAAACGGCTGGTGATCTTGCGTTAAGTTGAATCGCATACATCCACACCCATTGACATCAATGAAGAAAGCTATGAATGAATCAATTTATTTTGACAGGTGACCTTTTTTAACATTCACGAGGGGGAGGATAGCTTTGTTATAAACATATGTGACTTATCTGTGCGGACAGGGGCTGTGTCGGAAATGTCTGAGTAAGAAACCCGTGGGAGTATAATAATTAACTGTGGTTCGTGTGGTTGGTGTAGATAAAGTGGCTCTCATTCAAGTCCCTCATGTGCAGCATTCTAATTATAGTGCTCACAGGATTTCGGTGCTGGTGTGTTGCTGACGAGAACCGCTATCGTTAGCCGCTTGCGAGGGAGGTCTCATTTTTCTGGCCATCAGTAAACAGCTTGCCTTGTTCGCACACACACACACACACAGACAAAGATCCCCCGTATTGCCTCAACGGACTGTTGGGGCAAGTGCTATTAGCCAACACCTATTAAGGCCGGCAACGGCACACAATAGTGGGTGGGTGGCCAGCACCGCGCCCGACCGCCTTTGTCTCCCCAGTGACGATGTATACATGCCATACCAGGTAGGGTACTCATTTGAGGCTGAGTCGACTTAGGGTAAACCCATGCTCGGTTAAGATAATCGTCACTGGTGTTGACCAAGAGCAGGAATCGAACTCGAGTCGTAGCGCAGCGTGTGAACCACTACACTACCCCCACACCCAAAGATCCCCCGTATAGCCTTAACAGACTGTAGGGGCAAGTGCTGTTAGCAAGCACCTATGAAGGCCAGAACGGCACACGAGGGGATGGGTGGCCAACACCACGCCCGGCCGCCTTTGTCTCCCTCGTGGCGATGTTTTTACGCACCGCATCAGGTACTCATTTGAGGCTGAGTCGACCTAGGGAAGGCCCAGAACCGGTTCAGATAATAGTCAGTCATGTTGGCCAGGTTCTTAGCGCAGCGTGCTAACCGCTACACATGCACATCCCATCAGACCTAAGCTCGGTGAAGAATGGTTAAAAATCGGTTCGGCCGTTTACACGCATCACCAAAGATCATTAGCATATAACCGATAAGGGCCTGTGGAGCTGAAGTTGGCGTGTGTGTGTGTGTGTGAGAGAGAGATGGACATTTTACAGCAACAGCCATTAATATTATTTGTTGTAGACATGTTGACAGTTACACGATGCGAATAAACGAGTAATTTGTTTGATTTTAATGATGTGCATTGCGGGTTTTCACACTTGGGTAAATATGCTCGTGAGGATGATTTCGGTAGTTGTTGCTTTCAAGGTCACAAAGATTTCTTCGTTCATGCTGGGTTATTTTTAAAATGAAAGTCTTCATTTTTCGATTTAAAGCTTTCGTGACTGCAGGGATTCATCTTCTTGTTTCTTTCGGTAAAGTCACGTAGAAGGGAAGTAATAAAATAATAAAAATAAAACATAATAAAACAATTCTCACGACGTTTCGGCTACAACGCAAGCAGCCGTCTTCAGGTGAAGAATGAGACACTACCAAACTAGGAGCTTATATATAAGCTGCATTGGGGGTTGAAGAGCGCCTTAACAAAAAGAATGTGCATGTGAAGAGGGATTTAGCATATTCATGGAAAATGCGTAGGCGTTGGGCGGGGGGGTGTCAAAGTCATATTATGCCCATGCATTATGCAGGATCAGCAGCAACCAAGGGGGGTGCAGGGATTAGCAGTAACAAAGGAAAGGAATGTTAATGATATGTAGCTGCAGTTACTCAACAACCACGTAGAAAACTAAAGTATAAACTACATAAAAAACTAAAGTATAAACTGCATCGCACCATCATAGTAAGTATACTGATGGTGCGATGCAGTTTATACTTTAGTTTTTTATGTAGTTTATACTTTAGTTTTCTACGTGGTTGTTGAGTAACTGCAGCTACATATCATTAACATTCCTTTCCTTTGTTACTGCTAATCCCTGCACCCCCCTTGGTTGCTGCTGATCCTGCATAATGCATGGGCATAATATGACTTTGACACCCCCCCGCCCAACGCCTACGCATTTTCCATGAATATGCTAAATCCCTCTTCACATGCACATTCTTTTTGTTAAGGCGCTCTTCAACCCCCAATGCAGCTTATATATAAGCTCCTAGTTTGGTAGTGTCTCATTCTTCACCTGAAGACGGCTGCTTGCGTTGTAGCCGAAACGTCGTGAGAATTGTTTTATTATGTTTTATTTTTATTATTTTATTACTTCCCTTCTACGTGACTTTACCGAAAGAAACAAGAAGATGAAAGTCTTCAATGATGAAAACTTTTCCACGTGCAAAATCTGTTCATCTGTGTGCTAATTTGAATGGCACTCAAAGTAAGTACACACCCACATAAAAAAAAAACTACCAAACAATGAAAGATATATATTTTGCACACAACGAATATCATACACCATGTAAACGAAGCAACCATGGCGAGTTTGCCGGTTATTAGAATTCCACGAATACGCCATAAACTTTAAACCTTGGTGGTGCACTACGAAGCATCCTTAATTATCCGCACTTGCAAGCGCCGTGGCAGTGGCAGCCCAGAAAGCCATCCCCTTCGTGAGATTGATTTCTGCGGTTTCCACCCCCACCCCCCCCTCCTTTGTTTTATCTGAATGAGATAATTACCCCCGATCGAGTCGGGTGGTCTCGGCGGTCCTCGGGTTGCTGGAAACACCTCGGCTTGTCAGGGCTTCACAGCCCACCACCACCTCTCTCTGCTCCCAGGGTAGTTTGGTTGCCGTGAAAAACACGCCCGGGCGGAGAAGAAGCGGCACGGGTCGATGGGAGGGAGTGACCGTCCGCCACATCGGCGTCTTTGAAATATGGGATCGGAAGGCGACTGTATGTAATGGATGGCCGGCGTGAACTCTCAACCCGAGCTCTATTTAATTTACCCCCTTAGCATCCAGCCCACCTCCCCCCAAAAAAAGCAAACTATGAATGTGCACGCGCTCACGCACGCACTATCATTACACTGAATCACCCCTAATGGATAAAATCGCCGGACGATTACACGATTGCCATCAGACAATTGGGCAACAAGCAATGAATATGCAGTGATAGATTTATTTATTTTTGAGTGCCAGATACTCGCCTTGAAATTCAAGCCCAGAATAACAGATGAGCCTTCACGCGAGATCGGAAGAGTCGCAGTAAGTTGGGGGGGGGGGGGGGAAGGAGGGGAGTGGGTGATGTGAGCTCCAGGGGGTTGGACAGATTCCACTTGATGGATGCATTGTTGAAAAATGAAATGGTTCAACACTTACATGGTTCAGTAGTGTGAATGGAGCGCGACTCTGGTGGGGTTGTGGAGAGAGGGGGGCGTTGCTGGAGGGCTCTTAAAAAAAAGCTCGCCGTGAGAGAGGGGGGCCTTGGCTTCCACAATGGGGCACCTTCTGCGTTCCAAGCTGCCGTGGGGCAGATGTGGTGAAGGGGGAGCGATTTGTGATTTCGAATCCCCCTTGTGTTGCCTTTTACATCCGCAGTGTAATTTCAGAATTGATTGTTATCGGATAGACGCGAAAGGTTTCATCTGATGAAGGAGTCCTTTACTGAAATGAAAATTGTCTAACGACGAGGAGGCTGGGGGGTGTTAATGTTTCCCTAAAAAGGTTAGGGGAGGTTTGCAAATTGGAAAGGTGACATTTGTGGAAGGATAATTTTGGTGGAAATTGCATATTGTTAACATAATTTATAGCACTGTATAGTAATTGTTTTTTTAATTATTGCTTGGAGTAATTTGTTACAGTAGAAATGGAACGTTATTTAGCATGTGGTAATACCAAAAAAATCAAATTTTGTACAACTCTTGCTTCCTTGATAATTTTACATTTAGAAGATAATGAATGATGTATAATATTTGTGTCATCTATGTCATCAGTGAAATGTATATTCAAATGTTCTTCACGTTCCCGTCCGAAGTGTACGTGTGTGACTGCCACGTGCTAGTGTGGGCATTCGTGCACAGAGTCAAAAGTCCGTCAAACATGTCTTTGTTCAAAAACTTTTAGGGTGCAACTCTCACTCTTAATAGTGGTCCCCGTGGCAGTGAAGGAAATTCTACATTGGTTCTTTCGGTAAAGTCACATAGAATGTAGTAGGGTGGGTAGAATGATACATAGTGTAATATTACATAAATATGCTAAAATTCCTCTTGATATGCAAATTATTTTGTCAAGGCGCTCTTCCTCCTCCCTCCCAGCTTAAATAGACGCTCCAAGCCCAGGACGTGTCATTCAGACTCTGTCTTATCGACAGACCTGTTCTTCACCTGAGGACGGCTGCTTGCGTTGTGGCCGAAACGTCGTGAGAATTATTTTATTATGTTTTATTTTTATTATTTTATTATTTCCATTCTACGTTACTTTACCGAAAGAACCAAGAAGATGAATACCTGCAGACACGAAAGCTTTAAATCGAAATTCTACATTGCCATGAAAAACCCACCGTTAACTTCTCGCAAAATATTACTCGTTGAATTTTACTCCCGAGGAGGATGATGGTCCGAGTCAGTTCCCAAACCTGGATTTGATCTCGCGGTTTTGAGGATGCCATTTGGGCACTGGACAGGTGAGCGGTGGTAAATGCGTGTTTGATTCACCGTGATGCTTACTGCAGTGACATATCATCTCTGTTGCGCTCTCGCTCGTGTGTGCGTGGGTGCGTGCGTGTTTTGTGTGCTCCGTGCGGGCGCGTGCAGGACCCCGACCATGGCAGGAGGGCTGTTTGCCATCGACCGTGACTACTTTCAGGAGATTGGCACCTACGATCCTGGCATGGACATCTGGGGAGGAGAGAACCTTGAAATGTCTTTCAGGGTCAGTGGTTCCGCAACAGGCACTTTGTTTTCAAATGCACTCGGACAGTTTAAAATGCACCTCGCGGGCTGGGAGGGCGGGGGGGGGGGGGTTTACGCAGTAATTTGTACACATGAACAAATCTTTACTTCAATGGAACAAAGATGTTGGCTTCAGATGGCTTTTATAGACGACGTGTGAAAGTGTCCACACTTACGCCGTATACTTTCAGGTGTCCATCAACGGAAAGTGCACTTGGCAAGTCTGATTTACGAAAAAGAAGAAAAACAGCCAAGTTTGTTCATTTTATCTGGGCGTGGGACGCAGCATTATTGGACTGCAAAGCTGGTCAAGCGTAAAGCGAACGGAGTGGCATGCAAAGCCATTTCCCATTCCGCTTACAGTGTGGGTGTGTATGTGTGGGGAGCGGTAAGTGTAGCGGTTAGCGTGCTGCGCTACGAACCCGTCCACCCGGGTTCGATTCCCGCTCACGGCCAACACCAGTGACGATTATCTGAACTGGTCCTGGGCCTCCCCTAGGTCGTCTCAGCCTCAGATATACACATAACCACTCGGTAGGCAATGGCGGCCCGACGTGGTGTTTGTGCGCTGGGCCGGCCTTCATAGGTACTCACTAACAGCACTTGCTCCTACATTCTGTTTCGGCTATATGGGGGATCTTTGTATATATATAAACAACTAAGTAGTTTTCACTTGAAATTGTTATTGGACAAATAAGTTAATAACTTGGAGAAAAAATAATTTATTGTGAAGGAAACATGCTAAGTATTTTAGGATAACGAGGTTTAAGATTCTCAAATGAAACGGATAAACAGGCACTTTAGTAAATTATACTTGAGCAGTCAACCTTAGAAAGTCCATTTGTACTCATTACTTACAGAATGGCGTGTATTGAAAGGTAATGTCTTTGTCAATATAAAAGAAAAACTAACAACAATTATCGGCTTGGAATTTACATGCTTTACATTATCTGCACATATATTCTCTACACCTCATTTGTAGCTATGAAGCCAATTTGTACGTGGAGTGAAGCGGTCACACAGCTTCGATTTAAAGCTTTCGTGACTGCAGGGGTTCATCTTCTTGGTTCTTTCGGTAAAGTCACGTAAGCAGCCGTCCTCAGGTGGAGAACAGGTCTGTCAAGTAGACAAGTAGACAGAGTCTGATTCTGTCTACTTGACAGACCTGTTCTTCACCTGAGGACGGCTGCTTGCGTTGTGGCCGAAACGTCGTGAGAATTATTTGATTATGTTTTATTTGTATTATTTTATTATTTTCCTTCTACGTGACTTTACCGAAAGAACCAAGAACAGGGGTCACACAGTTGTTACCGCTCACGGCACTATTAATGGGGCCGCAGCTCACATGAGGATAAAGCGACACCCATTCCGATGTTGGGTCTCACCTTCACCAACCGGCACTGATCAGCATCATGAAATCGAGCTAGCCATCGCTGGCACGCTGGCACGCTGGCACGCTGGCATGGGGAGGCCTTCATCCGGCGGTGGATTGAAAAAAGGCCGTATGTTCAACTAACAAAAACGATTTTTATTTTACCAGGTAAGGCCCACTGAGCTATGTAGCTCTTTTTTCAGAAGTGACCTGACTGCAAATGATAGTTCCACAAAGCAGCTCATCACGTGGAAATTATAGCAGCCAAATACTCTGAGCGCATATTGATTCTAAATGTGGAGGGAAAAATACTGGAGGACCCGTAAAAAAAAATGCATGCAATCGCGATGAAAGAGAACGCGCAAACTCCAAATATGCAGGCGTCGGGATTGGATTCGAACCCACGACCTCCTGCGTACCAGGCGGGGGGAGATAACATCTCGCCACCGTGGCGAACGCGTGGAGACTTCTTCTTGGTTCTTTCGGTAAAGTCACGTAGAATTGAAATAATAAAATAATAAAAATAAAACATTATAAAATAATTCTCCCGACGTTTCGGCCACAACGCAAGCAGCCGTCCTCAGGTGGAGAACAGGTCCACTGACACGTCTGTCGAGGAGACTCTGTTCTCCACCTGAGGACGGCTGATTGCGTTGTGGCCGAAACGTCGTGAGAATTATTTATTATGTTTTATTTTTATTATTTTATTATTTCAATTCTACGTGACTTTACCGAAATAACCAAGAAGATGAATCCCTGCAGTCACGAAAGCTTTAAATCGAAATTTAACCGCGTGGAGACTTGTACGTGCGGCGGCGGGCGGCGGGCGGCGGGCGGCGGGCGGCGGGCGGCGGCTGCCCTGCTCACGGTCATCGCAGCTTGGCCGCCCGCGCGCGCGCCAGTGGCAGCGATGCCGCGGCGTGCCGAGCCAGCCCTCGGCTGCTCTCTGCGGGCCTGGAGGGAGGCTGAAGGGCACGCAGGGATGTTGCGTTTGAAGCCTCGTCTTCTGCCGCGCGCAGCGGCGAGGGCGGCAGGCTAGCGGCGAGCCTGACGACGCCGAGTCCCCCAGGTGCAGCGCGGAGAGCCGTGGAGTTTATAAAGCGCGGCACACTTGATTACGCTTTGCCTTCGCTGGTTGCCACTTGCCTTTACCAGAAATCCCTGGTTGTTTTCACGCAGGTAATTGCAAAGCCGCTCAAACCGCCTCCATGGGGATTTACTGTTTGCCCTTGAAAGTCATAGTATTTGTTTATCTGTTTTAATGTAAACCACCAATTATTGCTGTCTTTTTTATCTTCCATAGCGCTGCCTGAATGCATAACATCCGATTGCCATTCCTTCAGGCCACTCCTTGAGTGGATGCTTCTAACGTGTCAGTGGTCCACTTCCCAACGTTGCCGCTGCATTGTTTCTGAGAGGGAAATTGACATCGCTTGCTTTTAAGCTGTCAGAAAGGGCTTGTCGCCTGCAGATTGAGACGGCAGCTCTTGGAAGGGAGGTATTTTTTTTATGACAGGTCATGCAAAGAATCACTGCAGTTCACCGTTATTTGTTGCCCATATTCATTATCCTTAACCCAGGATACATTTAATTTCAGTCTCCACGGGGAGTTACTCATGTGGTCCCAGCGCTCCTGTGACGTGAAGGCACTGGTTTGACTTGCGGGGCGTACTTCTGAACGGCCCGAGAGAGAGCTGCGCCGGCGGTGGTTTGCGCACTGCGCGATCAACTCCCTGTCCTGACTTATTCCTGGCGAGGGCTTAAACATGAATGAGGAGTGATACCTGAACCGGTGATGAGTGCCTCCCTGAGCAGTGTGGTGGTGAAGTATGGTCAAACTCCCCCCCCCACCCCCCCCCGCGAGGGACATGGCATAGGGTGGCCCTGTTTTCCTTAAGTGAATGGATAATACGTTTTAAATGATACATCTTGTGTCAGTTGCTGCTACCGTCAGCCGGCCAGGGATTTTTACACACAGCGTTGGTGTACGGTGATTTTTTTCTGCAATATTTTGCTGTCTTTTCTTGGATTTTCTGTTTGCACTTAGTCACATATTCACTTTAAGATGTTTTTTGTTCATGTTTTTGTTTTTTGTTTGTTGCGGTTGCACCCGATTCAAGAGCCGAATGGCTCACAGGGCTATACCTAATACATGAACTTTAACTTGAACTTGAACTAAATACGAACGTGCATGCGGAGAGTGGCAGTGGCCAGCGGCACGCCAGCCCTGCGCCACCGTTCCTGTGGAAGGCGCAGGCTGCTGCCGCTTGGGCCGCGGGGAAACTCTTCAGGGGAGAGCGGCCTCTTCGTTCTTGGCCCGGCGCCGAAATGAAATCAAGCGTTTTTTTTTTGTTTAGCCCAGATGGTAACTGCGTCTTACTTGCGGGATGGTTATTAATCTTTAATGCTGTTATGTTCCGGCGGAGTGAAAACAATGCTTTGAATTCGAGAGTGAAAAAAATGCACGCGCGCAATCGAAATAAGGTCACCGTGAAGGCATTTGCGTTTTTCCGCTTTCGCCACATGATGGGTCTTACGCTCGCTCCCCGAGTCCGCTGATGGAGGTCTGCCCGGGGTTCAGGTTGCATGGGGCAGAATCCCCGGCGGTGCGGATTTCATTGCATATTGTTCTAAAACCGTTGAGGATTAAAAAGGTCACAGACCAATTAAAATAAACCCTTTTTACTGCGGCAATGTTGCAGCGTTGAGTCAATGTTTATGGGCTGCTGTATCAGTCAATGAAGAATTCGATCAATAAGTGTTTATTTTAAAAGATCACCGGTTGCTTAAGGCAGGCCTTAAGGTAAAATACTGTATTGACTTGACATTTTGCAATTTACTTTTGCTTGTTGATACAATTAGTAGTTAAACTGTGCGTCGTAGGTTCTGAGAGGCAGAGAGAATTAAAAAAGGTCAGTTTTTATTGAATCGCAGGTGTTTGCGAGTGCCCTTATAAAGAGGGTATTTATGCGCGGCTGTAATTTAATGCCGTTTTAAAAGTTTAGTGATTTTCATAGTGACGTATTCGCCAAGTTAACTTTGCTGGTACGTGCGATGTGAGTTGTCCTTGGTGATCTAGCGGCTGTTGGCGAATGAGATGCTGGTATTGTTGCACAGATGTTGGTAGAACTTGGTTTTTGAGTAGAAACGTGGATAATTCTCATGGATAGTGCAAGAGAATCTGTTTTACTCTTTGTCATGCCACCGTTTTCATGGGGTAGCTAGGGCTGGTCTAGAACTCGGGTTTTACACTTCTCCTGCCAAACAAATTAAGTGGTGTCTCCGTGTACGTTCTGATCTTGCACGGTAGAGCTACTGGGCTAAAAAACAGATCTCCCATTTCATCCCCTTTGATCAAACTCTCACTCATTGCCAGCCCTCAATTTCCCCTTCATTGAATTGCGTCTTGAGCCGTGGTTGTATTGAGGACACCTCGTAAGCGAATCGTACCGTGTTGTCTCGCTCTGAGTACGATGACTCGATTTGTTTTAACATTTGCCCCAACACCCCCCCCCCATTCGAGTATTTGGCTGCTATAAATGTCCACGTGATAAGCCACTTCGTTTGAACTATATTATAAAATAAGATAATAGCTTAGAGGGCTTTACCTGGTAAGACAGAAAAAATGTTTAGTTTCATTTGTATATTTTTTAAAGTGATTTGTTTACCTTTCTTATATTTTGCACTCCTATCGTGTTTTTGTATTGTTCGTTGTTTGTAACGTTCTGACCCGTCCCTACTGGGCATCTGTGGAAAAGAGCTTTGTAGCTCATCGGATTCCTCCGGTGTAAATACATCTTCTGATTCTGAAACAAAGTGGCCCTACTGGGTCGGTTCAAACTCCACATAGTCCTCTCACATGCCCTCCCCCCCCCCCCCCCGCTTTTAAGAGGAGACAGCGCTGTCTGCCCCCCCCCCTAACCCCCGAATATTACCACTCCGCATCTGGCCGCTGCCCGGTTTGTCGGTGACTCGGTGTTCAGACGCGTTTCACGGTGCGGCCACTTTCTGAGCTGCCCCGTCCCCACCTCCCCCATCTCGTGACAACACAAGAGAGTGGAGACGGGCAACCTGGGGGCTTGATTCCCATCTTGATAGACCCCCCCCCCACTCCCCACTGAGCTTTTATACACTGCCTCCCTTTAAGCGAGGTCATGCCACGCGGGGTGGTTGGTGCTTGCGTGCGTGCGCGTGGCGGCACAGATCTGGCAGTGTGGCGGCTCGCTGGAGATCGTCACGTGCTCGCACGTGGGTCACGTGTTCCGCAAGGCCACGCCGTACACCTTCCCCGGCGGCACGGGACAGGTGATCAACAAGAACAACCGGCGTCTGGCCGAGGTGTGGATGGATGAGTTCAAGGGGTTCTTTTACGTCATCTCTCCCGGTGAGACTCTTTTGATGGCGTTTCCCGCGGGTGATTTTTCCGCGTGTTCTTTCTCGCTTGTCTTCCGGTGAAGAGCTTCCATGGCTCATCGGATTCCTCCAGCATAAATCAAGATCCTATTTTATACGCTGCCTCCCTTTCGGTAAAGTCACGTGGCTTTACCGAAAGGACCAAAGAGTATGGATTCCTGCAGTCACGAAAACTTCAAATCGAGATTGAATAAAGATTCTGATTGTGGTGAATGTTAAATGCCTGCAAATGCCTGTCCTCGCTTTTTTAATCTATTTCAGAATGAGAGTAACCGTGTTGGCACGTAAGTATGTATTTGATCATTAGCTTAAGTCTTGAAAGGAATAAGGTTATGTAATGCATTTAGCCCGTGTATTTTTTCATTTTAACCTGTGCAAGGTGCAGACCAGCTAATCGGTTTTGTTAGAATTGCCTTGGTTGTTTTTAACTGGGGTCAGGATCAGCACATCTTTAAAGGCTCGTAAAGTGTTCGTGTGTGCGTGTGGAGTGTCAGTGCAGGCGGTAAACTCGCAGAAGAAATATTGAACCTTGACGCGTGCGGTCTCTTTGGAACCACAATAACTGCCCGAAGGTTACAGGGCAATCCAATTGGTTGGTTGACTTGGAGAAGCAATGTGTTGCATGCGAACGCTAAGTTAAGCAACTTCAAAGATTTGCAGCAATGCCATTTCTCCAATTAGCCACGTAATTTTAGGTTGATGAGATTATTGGTTCTTCCACATTAAATCGTTTTTGTTTACAGCTGATATATCCCGTGGCGTGAGTGTTTTGATGTGTGCAGATGACTTTATATTTCAAAACTAAATCCTTTGGTGGCAATAGGCGGATAAGAATTTGGTGCAGAAATCCCATATTTCTATTGACAATCGGCCTTTCAAGCAGTGGTGTGGCATGTTACCTGCGGTGCTTTGATTAATATTTCATTCGCACCAGCACAGTGGCTGCCTGCTGCACTGAGTAATCTCCATTGTTTGCAAACAGTTTGGTTGTCACTTTGCGGAACACAATGTCTCATCCTCTTAACGAATGAAATGCGCGTGTTTTTTCCCCCCCCTTTACTCAGATTAATGTGCAGCGTGTGCAGCCTTTTCTTCGTCCCGAAAGACATGCACGCGCAAAACGCACAAATTCTTACTTTTCAATTCGATGGAACAAAAAGATGAATGCGAGAGGGAACTTCTTGCAAGGAAAAAAAATTGGCAAACAGCCGCGATATATACGGGCACATGATTCCCGCGCTGTGCATTCCCTTGTCGTACGTAGTGCTTCTGCGCGGCTATATTCTGACCCGCCCCTACTTGGCAATCTGTGAGAAAAAAAAGAGCTTCACAGCTCGTCGTATTTCTCCAAGGCGAAATAAAGATTCTGATTCCGGATCGCTAGCCGAGCCGTCAGTCATTGCGCTTCTTTCGCGCTGGCAAAAGGAGCGTGAAATTTCCACGCCGAGATTTAAGAACCCGGCCCTAGTTGACACGAGTGCGAGCTTTAACCAAACAGAAGGTGGCATCTAAAGTGCAAACCAGTTAATCTTAATGATGTGGAAACACAGCACCACATGCATAGTTGTTCACTGCAGGCAGCCATGATGCAGTGTTGGCTGTTAGGGTCGCAGTCTGTGGTGGCGCTTGAGTGTGCATCAGAGTAATGTCGCTTCCAGGCTCATGCATAATGCATCTTGAAATGCACTTGGTGATAAATCTCCAGAACAGCAAAGAAAGCTACAGAAATTCATCCTCGTGTATTTGAATTTAAATGACTGTGAGGCTCGGTATTTTGGAGTTGTACATTGAAGATCAATAGCCCGTGTCCATCTATCGCCGCATTGCTATTCACCCGCCCCCTGCCCGCCATTAAGAATTAAACGGCAAGTATTCCGTCACCGATGCATTCGCACAACACATTCTGCGACCACGCCACGCCGTTCTCTCTCCACGCGGTTTCCTAGGCGTCACAAAGGTGGAATACGGTGACGTCTCGGCACGGAAGGCCCTGAGGGAGCGGCTCAAGTGCATGCCCTTCTCGTGGTACCTGGAGAACGTCTACCCGGACTCTCAGATCCCACGGCACTACTACTCCCTGGGCGAGGTACCTTACGCGATTGCCGCTGCTTCACCGCGGACCTGAAAGAACAAATACCCCCCCCCCCCCACCCCCGATGATGCCATTCGAAACGACGAGGAGGCTGTCGCGTGCGCTGGCGTTCATGGCCCCAAGTTTTGCTGGATTAACAAATAAATAAAATAGCCGTGGGCCAGTGCATAAATCGGTGCCCGCCTGGAGTGAAAATATTTCAGTCTCGCCGATTTGCACGGCCGATGAGATTTTAATTGTTTTCTTGCCGACCCGTTTCAAAATGGTTATCGCATTATTTGACCGTTCTTGGCCCACGCAAATACACTGGAACCACTTGTGGATTATGGAACCGCTGACGTTTTGGAACCACTTGCGTTTTGCCACCTCTGGTGTTACCGACAAGTGAAATGTCTGAGCTGGGCTCATGGACTAACTCAATGGGGATTATACACAGCGGCAAAAAATCATCGCTCCCAACTAACAGACGAAGAAGGCCAGTGCTGAGTCGCCTTGCGTCGCTGGACAGGGGGCAGCTGCTACTGTTGGGCTGGCCTTCGAGTGTCTTGAGATTCATCTTCTTGGTTCTTTCGGTAAAGTCACGTAGAATGGAAATAATAAAATAAAAAAAATTAAACATAAAATAATTCTCATGACGTTTCGGCTACAACGCATTCAGATTCTGTCTTTCAGACTCTGTCTTCTCGACAGACCTGTTCTTCACCTGAGGACGGCTGCTTGCGTTGTGGCGGAAACGTCGTGGCCAAAACGTTGTGAAAATTATTTTATTATGTTTTATTTTTATTATTTTATTATTTCCATTCTATGTGACTTTACCGAAAGAACCAAGAAGATGAATCCCTGCAGTCACGAAAGCTTTAAATCGAAATGTCTTGAGATTGCGTCGATGAGGCATATTAAACAAGCACTTTGTAAGTGCAAATATATTATTATTACGTCCTGCAATATGTGCACTCAGTTTAGATCAAACTAAACTATAAAACTATTTCTATATTACCAAGTAAGGCCCACTGAGCTATCTATATCTTTTTTAGAAGCGACCTGGCCGCAAATGATAGCTCAACGAGAAGTACCTTATGTGGAAGTTTATGGCAGCGAAATACTTTCAACGCATGTGTCTAAATGTGGAGGGGAAAACCAGAGCACCCGGAGAAAAATTCACGCGACCACGGGGAGAACATGCAAACTCCAAATATACAACAAGCGTCAGGGTCGGGATCTAACCCATGACCTCCTGCATATCGGGTGAGGGTAGTTAACATCTTGCAAATGTGGTGCCCCCAGGTCAACTGGCCATCACAACCAATTGCATTGGTGCCATGTTCATCGCTTCCCTCCTGCCGCCTCCCACAACTGCCACGCAGTTTACCGCCAAGGCCCTCATTCGCCATCTGGCGAGAGAAGTTCAACATACACACACACATACGTATCTCTTATTTGGTGACCTCTGGGTGCCCATCCCACTGCCAGCCACCGCATCTTGCACACGCAACACACCCATCGCAGCCGCCTACCGCCTGATTAAGCCCACAGTGCCACTATTGACAACTCGCCTCCGCATTATACAGTACCCACATTAAGGTGGAGAGCGCATGAATTATTAAGGAGAGAAGCACACGCACATACATCCACATTGTGCGCACGCCACGTGTGTCCCAAGCGCAACGGTGTATCTCACTTGCTGCCGGCCCCCGTATTAAATCCCGCGGAGGGTTATTAACCTGTTTTACACGCGGGGAAAAATAATGCGCTCCCTGTACATGCGCGGCCAAGGGAGAAATTGCGATCTCCCCCGGAGAGCTTGGGCAGCATTTAAATGTTTTATTGTTTCATGAGACTTAAGTAATTGAATGAACTAATGTTATGTATAAAAGCAAACATAAAAATAAGAATAATAATAACTCCATCCCGTGAGGGAACTGTTTCATGTTGGGTTCTGCTATTAGAAGAAGCTCATCATGATTGATGGGCAGAACGCTTTGTAGTGTAATGAAGCATCCAATATTTCAATTACTCGCCCGCACTGGCCCTCATCACGGCAGGACACAGCAAATGATGAAAATAGCCCCTTGTTACGTAGGCCCACAGACACACGCTACCAGAAGATATTAAATATTAATCAAGCTGAGATTACCGGCCATTTGAGAAGTGGAAAACGGGTTATAATCGATTTAGTACCAGTCGAAGAAGAGAATGAATCAGACCCTAATAAGATTTTTCAGGCGTACAATATTTCAGTAAATCAATGTGAAAAGGCTTGAATATTTTACGAGGCCTTGCCTCTCAGTTAATTGTCTTCTGACCCGTTAAGTAATGACTGATGCGACGCTGCATGAAACACATAAGCTGTTTATTTACAACAGCCGTTTGTCACGTGAGGTAAAATTAATTTTGCATTCATCAATTTCTGCTGTGGCTCACAGATATGGCTCTCTCTGTTGTGCGCATTTAGATTTACAAATGATTAATGCGACTTTAAATACCACTCTTAATACATCTTAACCCTAATTGTAATTAGGAGAAGGTCAATTAAATTGTTTTTTTGGAAGCAATGAGTGATAAAATTACTATCCGCATGAGACAATCCCTAGAAGGATTCATTAGGATGCATCAGTTGGAGTGGCAATTCTTAACATTTGAATGGATCTCAACTCACGAGTGTGGCCCCAATTATGGGCGAGTTTATTATTTGTACCATTTATTACGTGCTATAATAAATTAAATCATCTCAATTAAGCTACTTAGTGTTTATTAACAATAATGGATAATCCAGGCCAGAGGGTGCTGCTGATCATTCACAATCACAAGGTTACCCTTTCCAATCCCAGTTGGGGATTGATTCGGCCCTTGATCCTTTTTGGTGCTCGGAAAATGACTCCCTTTCATGTAGAGTCAACAGTGTTGTCTGATCGACACAATAAACTCTCAACCATGGGAATGTGAGATTTACACTGTTGGCTCGGGGCTGCCAAAGGTGATGACTTTTGACTTTGAGCAGTGGTGTATTGTGTATTTACTTTATCCAAGTTCAAGTTCATTTATTAGGTATAGCCCTGTGAGCCATTCGGCTCTTGAATCGGGTGCAACCGCAACAAAAAAAACAAAAACATGAACAAAAACATCTTAAAGTGACTATGTGACTGAGTGCAAACAGAAAATCCAAGAAAATACAGCAAAATATTGCAGAAAAAAAACACCGTTCACCAACGCTGTGTGCAAAAATCCCAGTGGGATGCAAGTCAAACAACAATAACAACCACAAGACAACTTAGATTAAGGCCATCAGTCTAACTCTGTACTACAACAAACAAACATGGCTAAACCAATACACTTTTCGAAATCACCAAAATAAAGCCATGAAAGCAATGAAACAGTGATCATAGGAACTGTGACGGAATTTTTACAATAAATGGCATAAACAACATGTACTACCAAAACCCTGCAGCCATAAATGGCTGCATGAGTCACTCCACAACAGCAGGAGTATCAATCGGAGTATTATAGTTTTTATGACCTTGTTGGTAGGAATCGAAACCATAATTACCATCATGTTTGCTTTTTCAACGTTTCATAGGCAACCAATGCTTGGCTGTGGTCTCTCAGCTTACTGGGATCTCATAGCTGCCATTCGTTGGCATGCCGTACCAATTGTGACTGGATGATGACCCAGCGTAATAATACACACTCTCGGCTTCCATAGCCGTCCATCTCCAGGTGTTGCTCACGCACCCAATGCTTGTGAATGCTTGAGAGTGCTGCCTGTCTTGAAGACCCGACGGCTGATAGACCGAGCGGCATTTGCCAGTGAGTAAATCTCCCAATTTAATAGGCCTTGCTTTCGCGTCATGAACATAACGGTACAAAGCAGAGGTGGAGGGATGGAGAGGGTGGGGGGGGGGGGAATAACTCTGCAGCCAAATTCAAACAACACAGCCTGACTCACTATTGCCTCAACCACTATCAGCATGAGCCCCCCCCCCAACCTCTAGCCCCCCCTCCCCCCCACATTTCGTCACGGCTCTCGTGACATTGCCTTTTGATAGGGGAGTGAAGGCGGCAGATAGTAAATAAGCGAGCTTCACATGATAAGTGGAACAAACAGAGAGCAGTAGGCAGGAATGGATAACAAATGCGGAGATTATAAATTACGTATGGTTGGAGCTATCGCAGAGGGAGCAGCTGAGGGCAATTTAATGGACGTACACTGGATATAATTGATATAGGAGGACTTTGACAGCAGGTTATGGATTCAGGAGTTTGGGCAAAGTGGCCAAGAGTGTGGGTGAAAGGGGGGAGGGGTGCAAGCCGTGGCAGCCGACGATGCCTTGATGTGCGAGATGTCACGAGCGGGTGCTGCATCACATGCGCGGAGGTCATCGCGGACGGCGCTACTCAGCGGGGTGGCGGTGTGTGTCGGCCCGCCCGCCCGCCCGCCCGCCCGCCCGGCCTCCCGCGGGAACGGCTTTCCGTGGTGAGCTCGGGGTTTAAAAGGCCCTCCCCCCCACCCTCGCCAGCGGGGACTTCCAGCCACCTTTGAACTACTCGCACTGCCGTTACATGTACTTGAGATTTGAGATATGTGGTGCTGCTTCAGTGACCGTGCGAGTGAAAGCGTCGGTTCGGCGGGGTCGGGGGCATGGGGCGAGAGGGGAACGCTCGCTGAATAACGGAGCGCCACCGTGGGGGGGGGGGGGGGGGGTGTCCCTGCGGGGTTGGGTTTTACTGGTCGGTGAACTTGTCCCTCGACTAAAGCTGCACCCCGAGTAATAGAATTCTGGTAGCAGCGGTGAACCTAATCGTCCATTTACTTATTTATTCTCAGGCCGTGTACGCTTGCACTTAAGCTGTAAGAACACGAGGCCACGTTTTCTGGATCAGTGGCTCGCAACTTGATTCCTGGAGAAGGTTTTTTTTTTAGGTCACTTTTGTGGATCAAAGCGAGTTTTATGTTTAGCGATGTCACGGGGATGACCTGGCCGTCTAAGCCATTACTTTGTTGGATTTAATTACCGGCCTGTCCTGTCCGACTGAATTAAAATCCGTATCGCCGGTACATTGCGAACAACGGAAACTCGTACAGTGGTTCACATAAAAACGCCCAAATGTAATACGTTTGGCAACATCGCCGTGCTTTTCATTCAGGACATGCTTAAATGAGCGCGTTAAAAAAAAAATGCGCGGCCGCAAACTTCGTGACCTGCTTCTACGCTCGCATTCTGTCAGAGCTGCGTGCAATAAATAAAAACCACCGATGACCGTCAAATTTACACGTGTCCTGGTGGCACAAGTGCTCTCCACCCGGCTACCCCTGCCCCCCCACCTCCCCTGGGTGACATGGAATGGCTTACAAAATTAACAATACAATTGCAGCCAGCTGCATTTTTCAAACGCCATACGAATGTGGATGAAATATAAAACGCAATTTCCTGGTTTGTTGACAATGGTGTGGTTACCCTAATGTGATAATCTTCTTGGTTCTTTCGGTAAAGTCACGTAGAATGGAAATAATAAAATAATAAAAATAAAACATAATGAAATAATTCTCACGACGTTTCGGCCACAACGCAAGCAGCCGTCCTCAGGTGGAGAGCAGGTCTGTCGAGTAGACAGCGTCATTCAGACGCTGCCATTCAGACGCTGTCTTTCCGACAGACCTGCTCTCCACCTGAGAATTATTTTATTATGTTTTATTTTTATTATTTTATCATTTCCATTCTACGTGACTTTACCGAAAGAACCAAGAAGATGAATCCCTGCAGTCACGAAAGCTTTAAATCGAAATCTAATGTGATAAGTTTATGAAAAATATACTTTGCGGTCGTTTTTGTTTTTTTGTATCCAGATCAGGAACATGGAGACAAACCAGTGCTTGGATAACATGGGAAGGAAAGAGAATGAGAAAGTTGGAATCTTCAATTGTCATGGCATGGGTGGGAACCAGGTAAGAGTCTGCAGCTTTACTCACTGGCGCCTGTTACACAGACCGACTGCTCTCAATAAAACACAAACCCATTTATGTGTTGGAGGAAAGGCAGTGTGTTACCAGTATTTGGCATGGAAATTAACATGTTCATACAATTCCACACCGATTCGGCCATGCTGGGGTGCCACAGTGGCGAGTTTTTGTCTCCCTCGCCTGGTGTGCAGGAGGTCGTCATGGGTTCATTCCTGACCCTGTATTTATGGAGTTTGCAAGTTCTCCCTTTGGTGGTCGTGTGGATTAGTCTCCAGGTCGATCCGGTTTTTCCCTCCACATTGAGAAGCATGCGTTGAAATAATTTGACTACGATGAATTCGACATCATCCGAGGACGGGTAGGGCCCCGTTGCGAGCCAGGGTCATGGTTAAATTTTTTCTTTTAAATGCCTGACAATTTACGCATTGCAAACACGGCCTTCTGCTGCAAAAACAAAGCCGGGCCCTCCTTAAAAAGAGTATTGAGACTCTGAGGCTTTCCTGGGTAAACAATCGTAAATATATTCTTTGTTCTTTCGGTAAAGTCACGTAGAAGGGAAATAATAAAATAATAAAAGTAAAACATAATAAATACATTTTTATTTTATTTTATTATTTCCCTTCTACGTGACTTTACCGAAAGCACCAAGAAGATGAAGAATCCCTGCAGTCACGAAAGCTTTAAATCTAAATTTAATCGTAAATATAATACTAATCACCACGGGGGAGGGGGGAGGGGGATAGACAAAATAAAGTACTATTTTGCGTAGTTTTTGTTCATCCATCAACAACAGAGGCCGAGTCCATTCAATCGACCGCTTATCAGCTCGCTCGGCTACCTGGACTCCGAACCCGGCATCTGAGCTGCACCGGGGCAAACGCAGCATTGCCCTCGCGGGCTGCTCGTGGCTACGTTGCACACGCCACGCAAACCTCTTCCCCCGCGGCACACTCTGGTCGATTCGCTCGTTGCCTTCGTGAAGGTCGTGTTGGTGTTTTCATCTCTCGCTTGAAGCCGAGCAGATTAGTAATTGAAATAAGACGAGCGAAAAAAAGAAGGAGTTAATTATTTAATGGAAACGATAATTAATCAGATTCCTATTAATATTGGGCGATTTGATTAAAATGTGTCGCCGAGGTTCCTTGCATTTCAAAAGGGGAGACTATTGTGTGTTGAAATTAAATGGTGCTGTTTACTGTTTTTTGTCTCCAGTGACATCCATTGCTCTAACAACCGAGTACGGAATTTAATAAAACAAAACAAATTCTTCTTAATCCAAGCTGTTTGTTTTCCAGGCCCTTTGACATATTTTTTGTTTTGTTTAACTCGGCATAATTTACCCGCATTAATGCCGTCCGGGGTGATCCACTCACCGACATCGTAGCCGGCAAAAGCCGTAGGCAGAATACGTACAAATAATTTCAAAGCCTCTCCACGCCCCTCCCCCCAATCTCAATGCACTCGGTAAATATTTTAACGCTCTCCATTGTTAGCCACAGCGTCCATCGCTTTCACAACATTCAATCGGCTGTTGAGAAGAAACGGAAAGATGGTCATTAAAAATCAATGGTGGTATCTATACATGGATTATCCCGTATACTGATTAGCGCGGTTAGCTACGTTCCGGTGCGATCGGCTACGTACGGTGCGAAAGAAGTTCAACATATTTACTGTATTCACAGACACAGAGGCCATGCACTATCATGTAAACAGTAATATCTGGAGGCTCTCACTTGATACAGCTGTCGTGCTGTAACGGTTCCACCTGAAGACGGAAGCTTGTGTTGCTTCCGAAACGTCGTGATTTTTATTTTATTTTTATTTGACTTTTATTAATTAAAAAATTCTACCTACGTGACTTTACCGGAAAAACCGAAGAATATGAATCCTTGCAGTCACGAAAGCTTCAAATCTAGAATTAATATCTGGAGACCTTAACAATCTGTGTATGTATGTTGAACTTCTTTCGCACCGAACGTAACTAGCCGTGCAAATCAGCGGTGCGGGGAAGGACAACAAACTAAACGTAAAAAGCAGTTCTAAAGAAATGAGTTTTCAAGTGGATAGCTCCAGTGGCTTGTTAATATCAGAAGAAAGAGCATTCCAGGCAGCCACAGAAGCACATCTGATACCAGACATTACACACACGTTGGCTTCAAAATACAATTCCCAACTTCCATGAATAGACACGAAGCTTTCAGCGTTGACACATTCCGTTTAATGTCTGCCATGGCTTTGGCGAACGGAACCAACCAAACACATCACCACGGGGTTGCCCTGTCGTGTGATCATTCTGTAATGACTCCGTCAGAAAAGTCATGTATTTGTCAGCACACCAACAGCAGCAGTGCTGTCTAGTGGATCAACCCCATGTGCTCAACCAACAAATATCAAACGTGATTCATCATTAGTTTATTTTTGGGTTAGATCATCGTGTAGGGAAAATGTAATGTTTTTTTTACTGTAACCCCCCCCCCCACCACTTGATAGAAACAATCATATCACGTTGTCACGTCTGCAAAATATGCCAGTTGATTTGGTTTATCAGCAAAAATCAGAACGTATGTGTGCGTATGTATGTTGAACGTCTTTCGCGCCGTACATTGCCAACCGTGCTAATCGGGGGTGCGGATTGTTGAAAAGCAAGCAGCATTTCTTGACGATGTTTGTATGACGATGTTTGTATGACGTTTCGCTGGTCAATACAACCAGCATCCTCAGTTGTTAACGGAAGCTCACCTCTCTCGCGTCTTCGATGAACAAAATCGATGTGCGCGTTTGCCCCCACGGCGCGACAGTTTGTTTCGATGAGCTCCATCGGGTGGTGGAGGGGTTATCGTTACAAATTGACATTTTACCTACACGACGATCTAAGACGAAAAGCAACGAATTATGAATCACGGTGCTATTTTTGTCGTGAAAGCCTACGAATAGAGAGACACCGCATGCAATCTGTGTGGCTCTCGTTTGTATAACGACCCCGTTGGGGAGAGAGTTCTGCCTTTCATTCACATGCCTTTTGGTGTCTGTTTGGTTGAGCACGTGAGGCCGATCCACAGGAACGGGGATGCCCTTGCCATGTTCCGACCTTCAAATGAATGGCAGACTTTTCCGACGGAGTGGTGCCGTCATGATCGCACAAAACGTCAGCGAAGAACGAATTTCCCAGAAGCTCCGTAGCGATGTGCTCGCGGTCCCGTTAGCTGAAACCATGGCAGCCTTTTGCGGTATTTAGAAAGGCTGAAAGCTGTTCATCTGTGGAAGTTGTGAACCTTATTTTGAAGCCAACCTCTCACTCATTAATTAGGTGCATTGTGTTATATATATTAATAATGCTACATTTTTGGTTTTTAGTACAGCAATCCCCCGCTATACATTCGAGATGCGTTCCTGGGAAAATGCGATTTAACTGTAAATGACTTAAAGCGAACTCTTAGTTCCCCATAGACATCATGTTAAAATGAGAGGTTGCATTCCTAGCCGACATTTCGGGGGGGGAAATGGCATAAATTGTGCAGAAATGCATATGATTATAAGTTGAATACATTTTAACTCGTAATATATTCAAATCATTAGACAGCACCTACCAGAGTTCGTTGAATACCTTGCTGATTCTAGGCCTCTTGGGGTGAGCAATGGTGGAGTCATGCAGACAAAGAGGGCAACAGGATCGCCTGCCTCTTCATCTGACGATGGAGCCATAGGGGGCTGCCTCTCTCCTCCACGTGGAGGCAAATCCCTCCACACAAATCCCCTCCACACGGTGGAGGGATTTTGCGGTGGTGCGCGCTGTGCAAGTATCGTTCGCTACCACATCGCAAAGTAGTCCGTTTTCATTATGGGACCTCCTTTGCCAGTACCAAAATATACTAATAGGGTTTTTCCCCTTTTTTCTGGCAACAAAACTGACACCTTTTGCAAGGAATCATGTTTACATTAACCACAATACTTGCAGTCAAATGCAAACAAAAACAATACTCTGATAAGTTATGCATTGTCCTTGAAACTGATTGGTCCACACCAGAGACAGCTTTCTTTAGAGCCTAGTCTCATATGGTGTTCAACCATGTAAATATGATTCCTTGCAAAAGGTGTCAGTTTTGTTGCCAGAAAAAAGGGAAATAACCCTATTAGTAGTCCGTTTTCACTATGTGTGCGTTCATGCATATGCCAAGCATTGCAATTGCAATGAAATGTGTTCCCTGCTAATCTACAACGGTTATGTGAAGCAACGCATAATGTTATCACTTATAGTGGGGGAGGGTTACTGTCAATTATGAGAACTTTTCAGTCTGTAAAAACAAAAATTCCATCGTTTCCAATAATGATCCGTATGAAGCGCATCTTAAGCAGCTGATTGGTTTGGAGTATTTGTAAACGTGTGATGTGCGTCACCCCTCCGTGTTAGAAACGACTTCGTGGAGCTGTCAATGAAATTTCGCAGGAACAAAATTACGGCAAACAAAACAGCCATAGCACTTCTTGGTATGCCACATTGGTGCTGATAACGTGGCAATAATTTGAAGCGTAAAATTCAGGACCAGCCCGGATCACCAGGGGGTACAGATCGAGGTCAACCAACTCCCGCGTCGCCTCTCTTTCTCTCTCTCTCACACACACACACACTGTCCCCTTTCCCTCAACTCATTCCGCACACGTGAATTTGTGATGGCACACCCCTGTGTTATCATTATCATCTTCATTTTGTGACTCAAACCAGCCCACGCGTGTGGCGAGCGCCTGCCGCCCAAACAAATGAACTCCCACGTCGTTATCACGACAATGCCCTCTGCTGCCCCCCGGCCACTGCCGCAGGTGTTCTCGTACACGGCGGAGCAGGAGCTGCGCTCCGACGACCTGTGCCTGGACGTGTCGCGGCTCAGTGGCCCCGTCATGATGCTCAAGTGCCACCACCTCAAGGGAAACCAGCTGTGGCACTACGACCGCGAGGTGCGTGCCGGCCTCCTTCCGCCTCGCTCCCGTGGGCCTGCGGTGTGAATTAATCAGCCCCGCTCGCTCACTTTCGAGTTTGGCTTCATTTGAATGTCATTTTTACATCTTTGTGATTTTGGGGGACGATATGATTCATTGGCTGAGCTCCACTTCCAGCCAGCGGCTTGTTAGGTATTGCTTTTTTTTTTGCTGCCAATTTTTTGCAGGTCGTAATTAATTATACACAGCTTCTTCTTGCATGCAGCATGATTAGTTAGCATTGCTATGGGTGAAAACAAAGACTGTCTTCACAGTCTTGCCAACACGGAAAAACGTGCATTCTTATGCACGTAGGTTCTTATATTTATCTGCTTTCATAAATCATTAAAAATTAAAAACACATCTCCCCTTAAAAAAATGCCTTGTCTCTGCAGAATATTTTACCACCGTTTACACATTCCTAACCAGATTCATGGCCAGAGGGCCATTTGTCAACATCTCCCAAGTAACTTTGTACAAAACATCTTGACAAACTGGCAGAATAAAAAATAAATATATCACTTTGCCAGGAGTCGTACGTCTCCTATTGATGTGAGCACACGTGACCTCTTCGTGTTTGCAGCTGTCGGAAGAGAAACTCTAATGGAACATGAGACTCACCGTGGGATTGTCGGTGGAGAGGTATTGCGTGCAAGGTCCTAGAATGCAAAAGGAGTCCGACCTTGGGCTCCCACTGGAGGCTAGGCTGCTCGAGAGGGCCCTCTACCGGGAGAGATTTCACACTGACATAGATGATGCTCCTCCTGCGGTTCCTTATTATTATTATTGTTAACCTTGTTTGTCCAGAGAAGCCTCGCTGAATCTCATGACGTTTTTTTTTTTCAGGAGGGTCCTAAAACGTTTTCGCTGGAATGGGGCGATGATTGAGTAATTTGTTGGTAATTTTTCAACTTTGATGCTGCTGATGCTGCTGCTTCAGTTCATGGTTTATGTTACAAAATCGGTGATCTTTGTTATCTCGTGCATTCCTTACATCTGGCTGGCTGGCACTGTGACATGAATCTCATGAGTTCCAATTACGGTTGAGGGTCAACAGCCTTGCATCTCTCTGGGGGTCGATAAAATTGCGTACCACTTTGTGAGAAGTCAACAGTGATTGTCCTATGGAGATACTGACACCCACCATGGAACCGTGGACTTTGTATGTACTGCATGTTGAACTTCATTCGCACCATACGTGGCCAACCGTGCTAATCGGAGGTGCGTGGGAAGGACCTCTGGCTCTGTCCTCCCAATGGTGATCAGCACCATTCCATCATCTGAGCAGGAATAGGGCGACTCCAAAAATGCTAATTATGCCCTACCATTGCATGTGAAGCGTCAATTATTCATAAAGTGTTTTTCTTTCAAAGTATTAATTCAAAACGTCAGACTGTGTTTGGTGGTGCTAGTTGCTACCCGTGGACCAGAGCCAGTGTTGGACATTACACCTTCCTATGGCATGGACCAGTCTCTTAGCAGCGCAACCACTGGAGAATTCACAATTAAGAGGTGCCGACTGAATAAAAACACATTTGAGAAACCCCCATTATCTCTGCCACTGTCGCTTTTACAGAAGATGACGCTACGTCACGTGAACAGCAACCAGTGTTTGGACAAGGCCGGCGAGGAAGACCGCCAGGCGCCCACGATCAGCGACTGCAACAGCGGCCGCTCGCAGCAGTGGCTTCTCCGCAACGTGACACTGGGGGTGTAGGTCTCCCCCCCCCCCCTCCCCCCGAGTGATGGGGAGTGGAGCGGGCAACCTCCTACCCCAGCCTAAGCTGGAACTCGCAGGGCAGCGTGCATCAACCACAACAATTGCGGCAGGCGCGTCTCCTGGCCGGGGTTCGCATCGGCCGCGAGGATTGCGCAGGCCGGGCGTGGCGAGACGCGCAGACTCCCGGGGGGAAAGAGGTTGGTGGTGGTGGTGCTTGTGGACACGATGATGATACATTGGTGTGCGGTGTGCGCTACGGCAGTTCAGGTCCTGGCAGTGCAGTATCGCAAGAGATCGACTCTTGCGGGGAAATTGCTCGGCTGTCTGCGTGCACTTTTTATTTTTTTCCCCTCGAGCGCAGCACGAGTGGGCAAGGCTTTCGCTTTGTGTCCCATTGTGTAAAAGGTACACTCGGAGTTTGTATAATTAGGTTTGTGGCACCAGTCAAAATATCTGCATTAGGCTTTTGTACGGTTTATTCTTGAAGGATGGACTAATTTATAATTCAATATTGAATTGAGAAATGGTTCTTTCTTTGACTGAACAGCATTCTGTTAAGAGCAAGCAACATCAAAGGATTCTTTTTTATATTTCAGTTAATGGTTATAGCTGAATTCACGTTGTCAAAACAATTAATTTATTTGGCATGACATGAATGGTTGATTTCGGATATTTGTAGTCTAGAAACAGCACACTATTCGTTGCGGCGTTGTCTAGTTTACATTCTTTCGCAAGCGATGAAAATAATTGACAAACGATGGTTTGTTGTAACTATGGAATTGGCTTGAACTTTGTAATTTGGCAGCCGCTTGCAATCCATTCTAGAAACTAAGCAAATGGAAAGCTGTTATTTCGAGCCATCAACCTCTTAGGTCTAAGCCAGAATCGTTCCCATTATGGATAGTTATTCACATTTGGAAATGGGCCAAGACCGTCATTTGTACCACACCAATACCCCACTCCAAAGCAGCAAGGAGATCACGCTCAGAGACCGAATCCCCTCAACACTTTGAAGCAATCGGACACCTCGCCAGCCGCGGAGGTCACGGCCAATGACTCACGTGGCTCTTCAGAAGCATTGGGCTCTTGCCCTGCCACCTCTGTGTGTGTCCCCTGCCTGCGCGCAGCCCAGTTCACCCCCAGCGGCACGTGGTGGCGGAGGGGAGGGGTGGGGGGGGGTGATCGCGAGGGTTCTGGTGCAAAGTTTCTAAAACGTTTCAATTGTCCAAGGCAATGAATGACGGCGTCGTTTTTAATTGTAGGCACTGCACCGATGCCCTTGCTGTGCGAGTGTGCGTGCGCACGTCATATTTTCATCTTTACCGTTCTTTGCATTTTTTTCTCGCAAATAATGCATTTTAAAAGGAAATGTACGTCTCAAAATACAGCTTTTTACGACAACGGAGTCGGGTCGCGAATGAGAGGCGTTGCGATATCAAAATCGCAGTAAGGTAGCGCGAAAAAATGTGTGCAGCAGTTTCAAGAGAAAGTTTAGCGTGTGGATTTCGCCAAAAAAATAGTTCGTGGCGGTGTTGAAAAAGTGCTCATCGATTAAAGTATATAATTATATATTTGATTATAAACCAATTTCAATGTTTACTTGCACTACGAGTAGGAGAGATTTAGGCGATGTATACGATGTGAAACGGCAGTTTGTTTTAACGTTTGATTTTTTTTAAAGAACGTTCCCCCCTCCCCCCCCCCCCACCATTTAATTCGCTAATGAAGAAGTGACTTGATGACGTGAACCACCCGCTCGGACACGCGGGGGGGTGGAGGACTGGGGGGGGGGGGGGCAGCCCTGGGCAAGGGGGCCCCTCTGTAGGCACCGGAAAGTGACTTTTGTGCTCGGTGGATGATTGTTGTCCTTCCCTTACCCACCACCCCCACCACTCGGCACCCCCGAATCGCGGCGCGGTTGGCTACGTACGGTGCGAAAGACGTCCAACGTGCACAGGAAGATACCGTGACGACGCCAAAAGCGACCAAAAATAGCGATGTCCACATTCAGCGGGCATTGGCTCCATTGGCCACTTAGATCCAGAAGGTCCCACCCAAACCTCAGAACCACATTAGCTAATCAAATCATAACCAGAGTCCAACTATAACCCTTAACCATGGTGCTTAACCCTCAGTCTGCCCCACCCAGCCACCCAGCCACCCACCCCCTATTCACTTTTGACTTTCTCTGCAATTTTCATTCACCTTTGAGTTGATGAGGTTATTCAACAGGGTCAAAATATGGACATAGTGTTCACTTAAACTAGCGGGCGAGTAACGAGTTCCTAGAGAGACAGAAATGTACACTGTGTATTTTGTGTGTGAGGTGTGGAGGGTTGGGGGGGGGGAATAAAAATGTGAAATTGTTCATTCGAGTCGGCGTTACATTTTATGCGTCTTGTAGCTCAATCTTATACTTCATTTAACATCAATATCAACATCGTGAAACATACTTTCTTACGGGTTTATTTATTTATTCTTTTCCAGTTTCTTCCCCCCACCCAAGGAATTTCACGCCATGCCAAATTGACGAGCCCGCCATCAGAAGACCCAATCGCATCCCCACCTCATCATTCACGACAGCGGGCAACTCGTTTACATTTCAAAAACAATGCACCATGTTAAGTTAAAGGATCCTGCGAATCGCGCACAACGGACAAACGGAAGAACACACAGAGAATCCTCTCGAAAACTACAAAAATTGTTTGTCTTAAATTTTGCGTTACTACTACTTGAAACATCGGCGAGAATAAATGTTTACAAAATGAAGAACACCACTGCCTTCTGTGACAAACTACACTGCTATTCCCTTTGATTACACTATTTACAAAAACGCTCGCCGCATTCCCGCGAATTAAATTAAATGATTGCTGTTCCATCTTCCCACACCCATTTCGTGAAACGTTCACGACTACGTGTTCAAGCCCAATTTGCCAACCTCAGTCAGTGGTCTTGTGTGGCAATTTCAAAGAATGCATCAGGAGCAAAGGCATTCATTAACTACGAACGCCCGCTGGAATTAGTGTTTTACATTAGAGCTACACTGTAGCCATAATATGTCAGCCTTTGGGGCCCAACGTCACCATAATTGTAAAACTATACGACATTTGTAGCGAAGCTCTGGGGAAACTGTCCCCAGCATGCTGGTCTCTAGTTTTTTTTTATTGCTGGCAATGAGCCATCAAGTAACGGGATAGGAGAAGTTCCAACAACGCTTGAGCACTTGGGGCTACTCGAAATATCTGCCGAAGTTCCACTTTTGGTAGGCGTTCTGGACGTCGCAGGAGCTGAGCTTCAGGCTTTTCCCATCTTGCGCCAGGCACAGAGACTCTCTGACGGACGCCTTCACAATGTGCTTCGCCTGGCCAGCAGAAAACAAAAAGAAACCGTTTTAATGAAGCCTGTAAAAACAAAATTTGTTAACCGGAAAAACGTTATAAGTCACTGTCAAAGCATCTCCCCCCCTCCCCCGCTCAAGCAAGCGTGGGGCACAATCAGTAGCCACGGTGCCACGGCCGCACAAGGTATCCAGGTCATGGGTTATATTCCGACCTTGACGCCTGTATATTTTCAGTTTGCATGTTCTCCCCGTGATCGCGTGGATTTTTGCCCGGGTCCTCCAGTGTTTCCCTCCACATTTACAAACCTGCGTTCGGAGTATTTGGTTGCTTTAAATGTCCACGTGATAAGCCACTTTGTTGAGCTATCATTTGTGGCCAGGATGCTTCTGAAAAAGAGCTACATCGTTGAGTGGGCCTTTCCTGGTAAAATAAAATAAAAAAATACTTAAAGTAGTTAAAAAAAAGTTTAGTTTAGCAGCCCTGAACCGCATTTATATGGAGCGTGTTGGTATCTCCGCAGTACAGACAGGAACCAATTTAATTAAGCCCCCTCCCCCGTGACCCCACAACCCCTGGTTTAGAGGCCTATCTTTTCACACGACCCTTACCAAAGAGTGTGTGTGTTTGTTATATATATACACACAAGCATTTTTTATTGCCATTAAAGAACCCAGAATACTCGCGGGGAATTTCAAAAGGGGAGAAAAAACGCGGAACACGCGCGACGCAACGCACCTGGAAATTTCGGGAACGAACGAGGCGGGGGGGGGGGGGGCCTTTCCGGGCTCTCTTCCCTACTGGTTTAACGATCGTCAGGATCCGTGAATTTAAGGTAGGGGGGTAGCGATCATCGGAAGCAGTCTTCTTCTTTCGTATGGCTGATGTAGATGCAGAGTAACAACTGCAATTTCACATTGAGGTGATCAAGCCCAGATGACCGCATCAGGAGTCGAGGAGTGTTACCATCGCCGCGATCTCTCCTTCGTATTCATAGATCGGGCATTGCGTCGTTACACGTTGTTACGGTCTGTTCTGGATGACCACGGCGTATAAACAAGGTAACGATCGGATAATAGTTTTTTTACCCTTCTATCTGGCAACACAACTGACACCTTTTTTATACGAGGAGTCATGTTTGCATAGACCACAATACCTGCAGTCATAATGCAAACAAAAAACATAACTCTGATAATGTATGTGCACTGTCGTTGAAGCTGATTGGTCCACACCCGAGACAGCTTTCCTTAGAGCCTAGTCTCACATTGGTTGGATCAGATGACGCCAAAAGGCGCACAACTCAAAAGACAACGCACCATCAGAGTATGAGAGCTCGGGGTAAGCATTTAGCACCATTGGAACCTCATTTGCCAGTAAAAAATATGATAATTGTTTTTTTACCCTTCTATCTGGCAACAAAACTGACACCTTCTTTATACAAGGAGTCATGTTTGCATAGACCACAATACCTGCATTCATAATGCAAAAAAACCACAACTCTGATAATATATGCACTGTCCTTGAAGTTGATTGGTCCACACCCGAGACAGCTTTCCTTAGAGCCTAGTCTCACATGGTGTTGGACCAGATGACGCCAAAAGGCGCACAACTCAAAGACAATGCACCACGAGAGTATGAGAGCTCGGGGGTGTAATCGTCGGGAGCTCTTACCAGAGGCTGCTCGTTGCGCGAGTGCAGCCAGGCCTGAGGCTCGCTGGCCGGGCTGCAGCCCACCAGCCCCACTGTGGCAGGGTCTCCCAACGCCGCCACGCACAGCCCATCTTGCCGCAGCTGCTGCCACCACGTGAAGTTAAACTGCTGCACCTGGGAGAGAGTGCGGCTATTCACTGGAAGGTTACGGCGGTCTCGTTAACGTGCGACTCTTAGGTGAAATCTTGTAACGGCCTCGTTACGTGAGGCCCGTTAGACCTCGGTGTTTACTTACGGTGCGAAGCAACGTCGCATTAATTCGACCTTTGTTATGTTAAATGGGAAAATAATTTGATTTTGGAACCGGTGTCTTTAAACCCGACGCAAGAGGCGATATTTTCCGTCAGATGCTGCTCACTGAATGGCGAAGAACGCGAAAAAATTTCTTATTATCACCCATTGTTTGCAATAATCAAAAGCGTGGAAATAGATGCCGTTTCCATCCAGAAAAATGCATAATTCTGCACAGCACACAATTAGGGCACGATGCTGCCAAAATAAACATGCTGCGATTTTCAGCTCTGTTGTTGGCCTTTTCCCAAGAATGAAAATTCCACATTCCTTTAGCAGACTGATTAGCACGGTTGGCAACGTACGGTGGCAAAATAAGTTCAACATACATACCTACAAGCAGTGTGTACACATCCCACAAAAGGATGGATATATAATTGATGATTTAACTTTACGTAACAGCCAAATCAACTATACAGTAAAACCTTGGATTGCGAGCATAATTCGTTCCGGAAACGTGTTTGTAAACCAAAGCACTCGTAGATCAGTTGTGATCACGTGGCGCTCGGCAGACAAAGCGTATACACGTAACTACTCTTATTGCAAGACCTCGCTCGTTTATCAAATTAATATTTTTAAAAAAATGTTGCTCATCTTGCAAAACACTCGCAGACCAAGTTACTCGCAATCCAAGGTTTTACTGTATATCAAAAAGCACTGTACTGACTCTTCTCGTATATCTTCTTGGTTCTTTCGGTAAAGTCACGTAGAAGGGAAGTAATAAAATAATAAAAATAAAACATAATAAAATAATTCTCACGTTTCGGCCACAACGCAAGAAGCCGTCCTCAGGTGAAGAACAGGTCTGTCGGAAAGACAGCGTCTGAATGACAGACCTGTTCTGCACCTGAGGACGGCTGCTTGCGTTGTGGCCGAAACGCCGTGAGAATTATTTTATTATGTTTTATTTTTATCATTTTATTACTTCCCTTCTACGTGACTTTACCGAAAGAACCAAAAAGATGAATCCCTGCAGTCACGAAAGCTTTAAATCGAAATTCTTCTCGCATAGTTTCAAGTTCACCGTGTTGCACTTACCTTCGACACCCCACCAGTCTGAATGCACAGGTGCACTTCAATGCTATTATTGACGACTGTCAGGCACTGATTAGATCCCTCGTTCCACACCTGTCAAAAGAGAAACGGTGAAACCCCCCCCCCCCCCCCGAGCGTGACGAGCGATAATCACGGCAGTTAATCACGGCGACTTGCCACGAGCTGCGCTTGCCATCGCAATCGGAGGGTGCAGAGGGCCGATTTTCATTTCCGCGATTGAGCCACATGGCAGTAATTAGCCCGAGCATGCCAGCCTACGCACGAGGATTGCTCTCCAAGAGGAGTAAAATGTGAAGTGCCAACAAACCTCTTCGCTTGTTTTCATCACCAAAGTCCACAATGAAAAGGGGGGGGAAAAAACATCCTCGCTTACGTACTAGCAATGGGCAACGTCTTTTGGACGTGTCCGGCTGTCCAGCCTGCCACAAGCCAGCTGGTCGGCCGGCCTGGCGCCCAGCCTGCTATTTTCTCCTGCATTCTGGAACACTCGATATATTCAGGAGCCTACTCGTAATGATAATAAAAATACATTATTCCCAAACCTTGGAAGGCCTCTCCCCCCACCTATGCCATATTGGTCACGTGGGGGTTTTCGTCAGCACACGAGCGTCCAGGGACGTGGAGGTTGGTGAATGGGGATTCCGAGACTGGTTCAGACGTCGCTCGTCCCCGACGTTGACCGCGGCGGGGAATCGAACTCGGATCGCCAGGCTCATAGCGCAGTGTGCTAACCACTGTGCCTCTGCTCCTAAACATAATAGTGCTTTACTAACTCAAGAAAGACTTGACTCTTCTCAGGAAGGCCCTTCTTGGCGAATCTTTCCTGGATGAATAACTGGTATTGCAGTATGACAGCAAATCACAGAGGATTGATATGGGAACATGGGCAACGGATGATGTGACCGCGATCGCCAACAGTGCAGGACTGCTGCTGCTGCTGCTGGGAATTTCTGGGCCCTGCGGCC